CCCCCCCCACCAAAACCAGACATCACGTGAAACTCTGAGTTGTTTCGGAGTGGACATTTTATGAATCAATTATGTGTACTGCTTTTATGAGGGAGTTCAATATCTTAGCCGCCAGGTGACAACTTCCATCACTTTCTGGGCTACCTTCGTAATATTGTGTACCTCTGTTGACCGCTGACCGACTCCATACAGACATGACGTAAGCACTACTTGGTTAATACCGAGCTGATCTAGGCAGAGAAACAGACATCAGTCTTTGTTGTGCAGCAGACAAAATTAGGCTTATTATTATTATTATTATTATTATTATTATTATTATTATTATTATTATTATTATTATTATTATTATTATTATTATAGCTATTATCACAGTATTATTATTATTATTATTATTATTATTATTATTATTATTATTATTATTATTATTATTATTATTATTATTATTGCTGTTGTTGTTGTTGTTATTTTTATTATCATTCCTCTGCCACTGTAAACGACCAAGACAAATTATTTTCTCCCTTTGAGACGAATAAAGACTGTCATTGAAGAAAACCCTAAAAACTTGAAGTTATTATTGTCATCACTATCATCATCCTCATCATCATCATCATCATCATCATCATCATCATCATCATCATCATCATCATCATCATCATCATCATCATCATCATCATCATTTTGATGGAGCAGATATAGAACATTTGGTTTTTGCTTAGAAACTAAAAACGGTAAAAAATGTCTGAGATAGCGTAATGCCACGCGTCAAACACGTTAATGTGTGTCATAATGGTCTTATCAACCACTCGACCAGACAGAGTAACATAACGTCAATTTTTCTTAATTCAAAGAGACATTTTGGCAAACTAAATTTGTTTGTCTTCATAGAGCTGAGATAATATTGTATTGAATTCTGCATCGTCATGTGCCAGACCTGAAACAGACATCGACGGTTGTGGTGCGGTTCGCCATTCAATTTTTGGGAGATTTTTTAAAATAGCTTTCTTGGCAAACTAAATCTAGTTTGCACTGACCTTCATTAATGGGCTTTTAAATTCTTTTGCTCATCCACATTTTTGACCAACATGCAAAGACCCGAGAAGACGAGACAGCAGTTTGTTTGTAGGACGTTTTATCCACAGACAGACGCAATTGAACAAACAATACTAATTATTGGAGTGCTCGTTTGAGAAAGCTACGAGAACATAAACAGGGCGAGATAATGTAGATTATACGTGGTCTCGTTTCATAAATTAGTTTTGTTCGAGTTAAATCGTCACTCAGCGAATCGAGTATCATCTCTCTCTCTCTCTCTCTCTCTCTCTCTCTCTCTCTCTCTCTCTCTCTCCCTCTCACTCTCCCTCTCCCTCTCCCCCCCCCTCTCTCTCCCCCCCCTCTCTCTCTCTCTCTATCTATCTATCTATCTACCGCCCCTCTCTCTCTCTCTTTTTCTCTCTCTCTTTCTCTCTCTGCCCTTCTTTCTCTCTCCCCTCTCCCCTCTCACCTTTTTTCTCTTTCGCGCTCTCTTTCTTTCTTTTTCCGGCTCTCTCACATATAATATGCACAAATATTGATAGATAGATAGATAGATAGATAGATAGATAGATAGATAGATAGATAGATAGATAGATAGATAGATAGATAGATAGATAGATAGATAGATAGAGTCAGTGAGTGTCTTTGTGTGTGTATGTGTGACAGAGAAACAGAGAGAGAGAGAGAGAGAGAGAGAGAGAGAGAGAGAGAGAGAGAGAGAGAGAGAGAGAGAGAGAGAGAGAGAGGGGGGGGGAGGGAGGGGAGAGATGGAGGGCGCAGTGCATGATGGTCATTTATTTTGGGTTGAAAAGGGGGTGGGGTGGTATTCTAATTGCGAATGTTCTCTGCCCCCTCCTCTTCCACAAACACATACATATTCCTTCTTTTTTCTTTTTTTTTCTTTTTTTTTTTTTACCACAAGTCGCTTGAGAAAGTCTAACATACGCTAACGGCTACTATTCTTGCACCGTCGCATTTTGTGGGTTTTTTAATCGCGGGAAAGCTTAGGAAAACACGGACGAGGAGGGCGAAAATCAAAAGAAAGGAGGAAGCCCTCACGCGATGATAGAGCTTGTTTCTCGTCACAGCCGAGGAAAGAGCGAAGTAAATCCCCGACGTCACTTACCGAGCAACACCGAGACCCGCCGAGCAGGACAGGAAGTGACAGTGACGGAGCAGTTGCCAAATTGGAGTGCCGTTGAGTCACGTAATTGCGATTTGGCAACAAAACTAGACTCTAGCTCGCCGAGGTGTATATCATGCCAGGGAACGTTGGCGGATCTGCGGTGTGGGAAAAATGTGGAATGCCGCATCGAAGAGGGAGATGGAAGGAGACATGATGACGAGGGGTCGGGAAGAGAAAGTTGTGAACTTTGACCTCCGGGGAAATTAAGATTTAAGTCTCACAGTCTTTGGGCCTACTTTTTGTGGTGCACTTTTTTGCCTTTTTAAAAACTTTTTTTTTTTTAAATGCTTTTTTCTGAACCAGCATTCCCCCCCCCCCCCCCCCCCCCCTATTCCCTTCGCTGTCCTTTCTTTCTCACAAAGAGTGAACTTATTTTATAGTTTGCAACTGCATAAATACTTTTGTTGATAGAAAGGTTTAATGCTGTGGTCATATCGTAGCTGTAGATTTTGAACAAGTTGTAGTACAGAATAAAGGCATGCCGATGTGAACTTCTGATTATCGATCGTTGCATTTATTTATTCAATATTGGTGTTGTCATAGTTATTGCCGTCTTTGCATTTACTGTTAGTGATTGGGTTTTTTGTTTGTTTTTTAAGCCCTTAAAAATCAGAAACGAAGAATGAAAATAAATAACGGATGAAATAAATTTCAACTCATCTGTTCTAAAAATAAGAAGAAAAAGAAAAAGAAATAGAAAAAAAATATCTGCCGGTTCGTTTTCGATGCTTTTTTTTGGCCTCTTGACTGACTCTGAACATCCCGGCGTACTCAAATCTGACAATGAAATAAGGACAAGCAAGGAAGCAGCAAACGTTCTCGCCCACAAACAAATTTGCATGTTGTGAAGGATGTTTAAGTTTTAAATCTGGGTAAGAAGTTTTGCGACACTTGCAACACAAATAGGCCATTTGTGTACTGAAGATTAAAAGCGTTACACTAGACTCCTAGAGAGAAACATACACAGAAAAGAGGGCGGAAAGAAAGAAATAATGACGATGGGTGTTTGATAGGAAAGAAGGAGCAAACAACACCAGAGCACCCGCCTGCCACGTACTCTGAAAGTATCAACATCATGTGCGAGTGCGAGCGCGTGCACACACACACACACACACACACACACACACACACACACACACACACACACACACACACATACACACACACACACACAAACACACACACACACACACACACACACACACACACACACACACACACATACACACACACACACACAAACACACACAAGCACACACCAACACACACTCACACACACACACACACACACACACACACACACACACACACACACACACACACATTTTCTACCTTATTGCACACCCTCGTATGAGTGAGCCATACAAATATATAGTGTAATGCACACGGAGCGATCGTTAGGTTAACAAATGTATATTTATATATATATATATATATATATATATATATATA